GCAAAATTATAAAGTGCTTTATTTAACAATAAATAAATGCCACTATAATAGTACAGGTCATTTTCAGAATTATCTAAGAAAGTTGTATAGAAATTAAAATACAATATTAAATTGTAATTAAAAGTTAAATGACTAACTGGCTGAAAAACGTAAACCAAATCAGTAACGTTTTTATCTAATTAATGCAAGTTTTTTAAATTAATGTTGAAAAATAAAAATTTAAAACCTTACATGGCAAGAAAAAGTCAAATAACGATAACTAAGGAAATTTATGAAACAATTATAAACATGTCCAATTCGATAAATAATCATTCAACCAAATACATTGCCGAAACTTTGAACATTAGCCAAAGTTCTGGAAGAAACTGCATAAGAAATCATCAAGAAGGCATCAAATTTGCTACCAAGGGAGAACGCCACAAGCAAACAATCAAAAACAAAAATTTGTTGTTCAATGAAATCAAAAATACTTTATTTAATACGATAGCAATAAATAATGAATTGACACAAAATGAAATGGTAAATAAAGTTAATGCAGCAACCAGAAAGGTAATATCTCAATCAACAGTATTAAGGAAATAGTGGGCGAAAAAAGTATAGGGCAAAAAAGGCTTTCATTGGTTCCCGAAGAACAAAATTCCCCAGCAAATATTGACAAAAGGGCCATATATGCCCACCGAATCTTGCGTATTTCTAGTGATAAATTGGTCTTTTGAGACAAATCAGGATTTAATCAGCATTTGAGAAAATGATATGGGTATTCTCATAAAAAAGAAAAGGCATATTCCCTGTTTCAGGAAACAGAAATATAAATTGAAGTTTGATGCAATAAATATTTTTGGTGTGGTTGCTTATGAATTAAGAACTGGAGCTTATAATGCTGAAAGCTTTGAAAGATTTATAAGAAATAACCTGTGTAACTATTTCCAACAAAACCCAGACCATATACTGATAATGTTCCATTTCACAGATCAAGAAGTATTATAGAAGTTTTAAATGAATTAAGAATAAATAGAGAATATTTACCGGTTTGGTCTCCTCAATTAAATCCCATTGAGGAATTTTTTAGCATGATGAAGGCAAGATATTGGGGAATAAAAGTTTTAATGAAATTAATATTGAAGATGCATTGGAAATAATTTTTAATCAAGTTCATGAAATTAACGAAGAATTTCACGAACGAAAAGTGGAATTTGGAGATCAATGGAACAATGGTTGGTTGGAAAAAGCTTAACAAAACATGATTTTTGAATAAAGTGGTTGCTTAAATTAATGTAATTTTTTTGAAGTCTAAATGTTAAATGACATAAGCTTATATATAAATAAATCATATCTTCGAACTTTTTTATGCTTTAAATGGATTTATTAAACGATTCGGAATTTTGCATAAAACAATTTATAATTTTGCATAAAGCACTTTATAGTTTTGCATAAAGCACTTTATAATTTTGCATAAAGCACTTTATAATTTTGCATAACCCTGCAATAGTTCAAACTTAATTAATTTAAAAGCATTTTAATTAATAGTTTGAAGCTGATAATTTTTTTATATTGTCACATAGACATAGCACATATGTTAATTAGTTCAATAATTTATGAGGCGTGACTGTTATTTTAGCTTTACCAACCAACAGATTTTTATGTTTTATTGGCTTTGTAGACATTAGAAAATATCAAGGTTTCAAATTTTCAAATAATTATGTTTAAAAGTAATTAAGCTTCAATTAAATAGCTTTGAAGCTTCAATTTTTTCTTAATTCTTTGTAGAGGAACTTTTAAATTAAAATAAAAAATGCATATTAATTTAATCCTTTTTTTTTTGATTTAATTTTTATTCATTTCATCATTCGTTAAGATTTTTAATTTTTAAGTGTGTTTTTTTATTTAATTTTTTAGTTTTAATTTCTTTATCCAGTTTATAATTTTTTTATTTTTAATTTTAGTTTGCATTTATTTAGTGCATTTTTAAACGTTTACTTAAAACATGCAAGGAGCCATGGATAAGTTGTCAAAAAAAGTATACTGTGCGTGGTCATATAAGCATCTCCTGAAAAAGCTCCGTCTTGCTAGAACACCACATTGATGTCTTGAGAGTAATGGGTATCAACCATTGACTTGACACCATTCTCTAGGATTTGAATGTACTCGTTGGTGTCAACTTTCTGACCAAATTTCATGATAATGGTTTTGAGACCTTTAGAAGAAACCAGATCAATTATCATAGCTAAAATCAGATATTTGATCTTGAATGTATAATTTACATGTTCTGGGACTATTTGGACTTGTTGATGACTGATAAGACAATATCAGCTGTTTCAGACAGAATTAACAGTATTTTAAATCTCATATGAGAAGAGAATGGTCATTGTTCTCTTTTTCAGAAGTTATTTTGATCTTTTAAATCTTTTTTCTTTGACACTTAAGGAAGGTATTTTTTTATCCTGGCCCTTGATTTTGCCTTAAGAATTTTTCTGACCACTTATCTGATGGTATGCTAACTTACTGAGAGCTCTTCATCTATTTTCCTGATTGACCTTATTTGATTTAAAGAAATTCTGCCCTTGACAGCCTTGATCAATTCAGGAGTTTAAACTGACCACATTAAATCACTGCCAACCTTTCCCTTAACACAATCATTTATTTGAAAACATTTAATCACAGTGTAGACAGTACTTAGAGTTTTGCATCTTAGAACTGGTTTGTTTTTACTACTTATTTTCACTTTTTTGCTGTTTTTATTTATTTTATTTTTTTTCAAAGTATTATCATCAACAGTAACATATTATGTGTGTAAAAGTAGCAACAGATCATTTATTTTAAAATTACCAAACTTATTACAAAGTTTGCAGTTGCATACTGTGTACCAGTGTAGACTGTCTTGCTTCTTGATATAAAAAAATGTTTTTGAAAAATTGTAAATTTTAAGGTAAACGAATACTTCTTACTAGGTTACAGTTAGGCATTTGGAATAGCGTTATTTTTAATAGCAATAGAAAATTTTTTTTATTATTAATGTTATTTAATTTGGTTTTCAATTTAAGAATATTTAAGTTCTACATAAATTCTTGAGAATATTTAAGTTCTACAGAAAATTAATGTAAAAAATTAATTTATAATACCCAGAAAATTAATGTAAAAAATATGAAAACCAAGATTATTGAAAAATATTAAAAATTTTCAAAATTATTTTTTTATTAATGAGACAAGAGTTGCAACATTTTTGAGAAAATAAAATGGACACAAATTCTGATGGCAAAAATGAAGATGAGGAAGCATTTGATTATGGTCCTGCTTTATCTATTGTTAAAAATCTTGAAGGTGTTTGAACTATTTAAAAAAAATTCAAATACAAACTTAAATTAGTCAAAGAGCTTAAAGAAAAGGCTCAATCTCTTAGAATCAAATTCAAATTGCTGGTTCTCAATGTCAGAACTTGATGGAACATTAAAAATGTTACAAACTGTCAATGACATAATTCCAGCTATAAAAAAGTTCTTGAAGCATTTGGACATGATTGGCGGGATTATTTAGAGACGAGCATACCTGAAGTGATAGCAACTCTTCAAACATGTAAAATGGCTACGGATGCCATGAGTGGTGATGATTTAGACTTGAACATTGCAGAAGGTGCATTGGAATTTTTGTTAGAGGAATTTCAAATAAAGAAAAGTTTTTTTTTTGTGGTTGTTTGGTTGAAGAAATTTAAATAGAGATTCTTAAAAGATGTCTGATCTTAACTGTCTGCTCAAATTTCTAAACAAAGTTCTTGAAGAGCTGAAAGTATCCCCAATCTTACTCTCATCAAATAAAGAAATTATTAAAATAGCAAAAAGACTTGCTTAAACATTTTTTCACTCCATCCAGTAATGATGACAATGGTGATGTTATAGAAATTGCACCTGAAGCTCAGCAGACAATTGAACAGGCTCCCAATGATCCTAAGTTTCGTCTTCTTGCTTCTGTAAAGTGTTGAACAACTTTAAACTTGGTCCTAAAGCTCAAAGACCCATCAAGACAAAAAAGAAAATCCAATGTGAGACAACAAATCCAAGTCACTGATCCTAATGATTTGACAGCTGAAAAATTCAACATCAATTCAATGCAACTTTGAATGACTTAAGTCTTTTAAAATGTTTTTTTAAGAACCAACATGAATTTGATAAATGTTGACTTCATTAATATGGTTTAATATGGCTTATTTTATGGTTAAATTACAACTTATGGTTCATTAATAGTAAAAAAACTTAAAAAACAATTTTTTTTGAAAATTTCGCCTTGTTTCCATAGTTTTTTACATTTTTGAAAAATCTTGGTTTTATCTTTTTGTTTCGTCTGAGTTTTTTTCGTTTTGTCTGAGACTTTGTCTCAGAAAAATATTGTCTCATATGGACCAAGACCTGAGACAAAAAAAAACCCTGGGATTTTGAAATTATAGTTCCAACTTAATTTAAAGATTTTAAATTTTATTAAAACAGACAGCATTCTCACAGTATGACCATAAAAACAAACAGAAGTAGTATATCCTTAGTGTACAAATTATTAAATAACAGAACATATCCTTAGTTATATAATATACCATAGTTGATAAAATCAATTATATTTTAGAAAAAGAATTTGACTGATTTAAAAAAAAAAAAAAAAAAACAAGAAAAAAATAATAAATAACTTTTTACACTAAAAAGTCTTTCTTTTTATTATTAAATCAATATTTATAATATTTTGAATAAAAGCTCAAAACAAATGATTCCTAACTAATTCCGTATTTCATTTAAATCTAAAATGTTATAATTTAAAAAAATTGTATATAATTTTACCTGTTTTATTAATACTATTATTCTAGTAAGTTTTAGAATAGCAACCATAGTAATAAGTTTTAGATTTTACATTAGTATTTACATGGTTGATTATTTTATTTGACCAATTAAAATGTTTATTCTATAAATATCAAATAATTTTAAATAATTAAAAAAATCCATAAATATTTTACATGTTTTTAATAGGAGTTGGTTGATTTACTTCAGAGATTTTACCAACTACATTGATATATTAGGATTGGGAACTATATTGCTTATTGTTCCATTTCGATTTGCAGAGTTTC